GTTCGCAATTTTTAGGATACAGACAGCCTGCTCCTCATATTTATGGGGCAAATGGAACCATTCAATTCCTTGTTTTTCTATTTTGTTAGGCTAATTTGATACTTGCCGTAGCGCTCTCAAGTGTCACGAGGCTATGATGTGGGAAGTTATTGTTTTGTAATTCAAGTATAATTTTCATTTGTTGTTATTATTGCCACATATCTCATGTTCATGTATTTCATTTATTGTCAAGCATATTGTGTATGTTGTGGCTTTGAGTCTCCGCTGTTGCCCACTACGGTTTGGTGTTGCCGTTATTAATATAACCATAACAATTAATAAGTCGACTGGTTTTCCCTATCATTGGTAATGTGGCTATAAAACACAACGATTTGTGCGTAGCCAGAAATTTTTTGCAGAGGGGCAAAACATTTTTCTCCCCGAAATACCTGGATTTTTCCAGCATATTCACGATTTATCATTTTTCGAGGGTGGGCATTTTTCAAACAATATTACTTCGCGCCCATTTTTCTGTCTTCTTCCCCCATCTTTTTTTTTTTTTTTTTTTTTTTGGGGGGGGGGCTTTTCCAGGGGGGGGGGGAGCGCCCCCATGCTCCCCCCCCCCCCCCCCCCTTGTGACGCCCATGGGTGATGGTCTTTCACGTTCGGTGATCAACCTTGCATGGACTTTTGCTATCGGTGCAGAGGGTTTTTTTTATATTATCAAAGTAAGTGGGTGAAAATATCCAAGCCAACCCCCCCCCCCCCCCCCATAAAACCCCCACTTTCTTCAACTTAAATATGCTGTGATTTCTGGGCGACGGAGGCTGCCGGCGTCATGGGCAGACTAAGCTTTGTTTAGGTTGTCGGTACATAGGTAACTGTTGCGGTTGTACTCCTATTGGAAAATTTTAGTGTGTTTTTATTTATACATTATTCAATATTTTCCTTTGATAACTCCGATGTTTAAAAAGACTGTGCACACCGGTGAATAATTTATTATTCATTAGTTAAAGAATAATGTAACCAATTGGGTTAAATAGCGAATGTCTGTTCTGTTTGTGCACTATACAATTGACAAGGCCACTTAAGACAAGCTCGAAAAGATCTCGGAAGTTGCGGCTCGATTGTAGACCGTTGTAGCCTATAATCATGTACATGATGTAAAGGTATGTTCTTAAAATTGAAAAGGATTCCATTATTTTGCTGAACGTCAGTTGGTGCATGGAACGCGTTTGCATGTGGAACACCCAATTTGTGAGCCCCCCATGTAAAAATGATTGACCTCGATCGTGCCCCAATTCCACGACTGCAAAAAAAAAATGGTAGCTGGTAAGTGGAGACCTGAAGCACGTGTTGTTGCGAGGGCTAAGGCCAAAAAAAAAAGTCTCCGGTTTCTGGTATGCGCGCGCGTCGCCGTTGCCATGCGCCTCGGCAAAATGAAAAAGTTTTTTTTTCAATGAAAGATGATGTCTCAAAACCGCCAAACTCACTGGTTTAACTGGAATCCTGCTGCTGCACAATTTTAACGTGTTTTTAGATTGGGTTATGGTCGAGAATAAGCTTTATGTGGCCTCTCTGGACTCCCATATATTTGCACTAAGTTTAGTCGGGTACCATTTGCAGTCATCAGCCGACATTTGAAGCAAAAAAATCAGGTAAAAAAAAAAAAAGCCGCGTCGCCGCACCACTTTTTGGGCAAGCTCCATACCAGAAACCGGAGACTTTTTTTTTGGCCTAAAGGGACAAGGTGATTGATTGCCAAAGAAGACATGGCTGGCACAAACCATAGAGCTAGCTCTATTTCCCACAGTGGTCTTCTTAGCAGATTGAGTACCATGCTGCATTACAAAAATGTACACATCGAATCATTGCTCTTCGGAAAAACAATGATAATATTTTCTAATCTTAAAAATGATTAATCTAAATTTAACTCTTATCAAACACACACACCATGGTTCGAAAATTACATCGGTTACGTGAAAGTAAAATTTATCAGATTTTCGCGAAAGGTATTAAAAAAACAGAAGAGCAAAATAAAGGCTCTGCGCATTTGCAATTAAATTTAACTTGCTCCAGAGCAAGGAACATAGATAAGTATAATACGTGCAAATGATTACGACGCAACACACAGATGCGACGGTCGCGAAAGTCCATTACCGTTTCGGTGATCACATTAAATGCCTCTTTGGCGTTCCTGTTTCGCCAAAAGCGGCATTTAATCGGTGATGGACTTTCGCGATCGGTGATGGTCTTTCGCGATCGGTGATCAAAGCTGCGATGACCAGTCGTTGAGTAAAAGTCCATCACCGATTGCGAAAGTCCATCACCGATCGTGAATATGCATCACCAGTAAAAGTCCATCACCGATTGCGAAAGTCCATCACCGATCGTGAATAAGCATCAACAGTAAAAGTCCATCACCGATTGCGAAAGTCCATCACCGATCGTGAATATGCATCACCAGTAAAAGTCCATCACCGATCGCGAAAGTCCGTCACCGATCGTGAATATGCATCACCAGTAAAAGTCCATCACCGATCGCGAAAGTATATCACCGATCGTGAATATGCATCACCAGTAAAAGTCCATCACCGATCGCGAAAGTCCATCACCGATCGTGAATATGCATCACCGATTGCAAAAGTCCATCACCGATTCGATGATCACATTAAATGCCTCTTTGGCGTTCCATAATTATCCGGCCCGTACGCTGCATGCTCATAAACGAACGTATACGACGTGGCACGTCAATTATCCGGCCCGTACGCAAGATGGCCGGCGCGGCCGGCTCAATGGGGAAGGGAATTATGGGAAAATAGGGTGGAAATAGCCGGGCCCCGTTCCGCATCCCCCGATGCCAACAGGCGCGATGGGGACGGGAGACCGGTCGGGAAAATGGCAGCGCCCCCGAATCATTTTCGTGATTGTAGTATAGATAACGATCCTCAGAAAAGCGTGTTGATGATTACGTAAGTCGCCCAGATATGGTCTATGGAAAAAAGATTAGCAAAGGATGACGAAGCTTAAGTACAAACGCCGCTGGAAGGAGGGAGAGATAAGTGAAACACTGCATTCAATTCCACAGAGACTTTGTTTTATTAATACAAAAAAAAGGAATCGCAACTTCAATCTATATTTTGCTTATATATACAGAAAAATTACGAATGTAAGACAACGACAAATTTTAAAAACATTGAAATTAATATTTGTAATTATTGCAGTAGACGTGAATATAGTACCATGAGGAAGTATTAAATATTCATTGGAACGAATAGGCTGCTGTAGTGTTAAGGGTTGTTACGTATTTCGAAGATTTTAATTATGAAATACAATTAACATTTTACAACTGGAAAGACACACAAACTTAATTTAATACATTTTCCATAAATTCATAAAAAAATAGGCCTACACACATTGTGCATACATGTGTGGAGTTAATGATAAATTGAATGCATGTACATGTGCATCATAGTACACCTATTATAATAAAATGCACATTTTAAACAAATCTAAGATGGAACAACCTACAATTTAGAATCATATGGATTCTAAACAAAAAAATATGAGAACTGTGCGGCATGCAAAATCATCATTTTCCTGAGGTTCTGTAAATTGTGGATTGTCTACGTTTTTATCGGAAATTCATATTTGTTAAAAGAAAAATTATCATTGTCAACATTCATGTTTATGGAAATACAAGTTGATACATTTACATTAGTATACCAAGAACGAAAATCCGAATAAAACTTTAAATATCCTGAAACCAGATATTAAATATATTGCTACAAAAATACATACGAAATTATGCATCAATAAAATACACGTGTAGGACTACCTACAGGAAGTAATAGAGTAAACATGTATAAGATACGGTTGTGCAAACAGCGATTTTTGTTTTGAAGATCACAAGATGACATTATAAAAAAAACACTTCATATCCGCTCACTTATATATCACGGCTAAATTGCTGATGGACATAAATTGACTTTATTTCCATAGACGCATCTACTTTGGTTTACAGGGCCGGTTGATGACGGTCCTTGACACGTGAAGCGAATCTTTCAGTTTTCGATCTTAAATGTCTTTTAAAAATCACTTCGTGCCTAAAATGAAGAAAAAGTACATGTACACGTATACTATCGCCCATTGGTTACACTTTTAATAGCCACAGATAATTTAAAGGACATAAACGTTAGTCTAACGAGAAATTATTGTAGTTGGGCACACAATTTTTTTTTATAAATTTGACTGGATTAGCACACAGATGAGGGAACACAAACTATAATAAATGCTAAACTTTTGATTGTCAATCCGCAAAAACTGTTTAGAGAAACTTGAATGAAAATTCTATAAAGAGCGTATTAGCCACATAGGATCATTTGTAGTTACCCAGAAAAGTATCTACTGATGTAATGACAGAAATCTTGCTGAAAGCGAAGACAGGACTGGTATAAAATACCCTGTGACAAGATCCCGCCTGAAACAGTATCGTGTTTATGGGCACACCTTTCAGCTGCATTAGCAACGGAATCCAGTAAGGAGCCCCCAAAAATGTGCTAATTTCTCTTCTTTTTCATAATGAATAATAACCACTGAGCTGAAATTTCAACACTTTAGTTGTTAATCAATATTGGTTTTGCCCTTCACCGACGTATAAACAGTGTATACTCGGTGTGTTTCCTCCCGAGCGAAAGTTGGAAAGAATCACTCGGGTGGGACTCGAACCCACGACCTCCTGCTTTCTAGTGCAGACGTCTTACCACTCGACCACCAAGCTTGAAGGATAGGTCGGGTTGGCTGGTTCGAATTTGATGTTCATGTAGCAGCGGGTACCGCAATGTAACTATTCATAAGATGGAATTATGTACATTGTAGTTTTTGTACGTTAGTTATTATTATATGTACCCTGCTTAAGATTTTGAGAAATACATGAATTGTTGCTTTTAAACATATAAAGGTGCGCAAAAAGCACATAATCATATGTACCTTTAATTCGGCATTGGGTGTTTTTCATAGTTTTTTATTTTCTATATAATTGATTACGTGAACTGCTATTTTTATTCCATCTCCATAAAACAGCTGCAATGTTTCTCTTTTGGTTACGTGTCACTTTTACAAGTACTGTTACCTTCAGTCTTACATTTATTGCTCGTGTATGCACATATCATGCAAATGCTTGCAAATCAGGCCGAGCCATACCGCAGCTGATTGGCTTTGGGGTTTTCCTTGAGCGCTCTGCGTCGCGACAGTGTTTCAGACACCCAATCAGGGGCGATGACGAAACTACGTCGATAGGAAGGTTGGGAGAATCTGAAGAAGCTGTTCTCATGGGTGTAGTCACCCAGGGATTTGGGGCGTGGCTGACGGCGGACGGTGGGGCGGAGCTCAATCTTCTGGGCGTAGTTTCTCGCAACAGGCGTTTCGGATCTCCTTCAATAAAAAAGGGTGGTCATATTACAAACCTAAGTTTTACTTTGACCACACACGTTAAGATTCGATATCAAATAAACCTATAATTTCCATGTCTTAAGATCGATGTCGTGTCTCACAAATGTAAATATAATATTGGATATTAAGGCGTGGCTTCCCATAAACTCTTGAAATGTGGTTAAGGAAAAACCAACTGCTACTTGTATCAGCTATTGATGTAGGTGGTAGTTTGATAAAACAAAAATAAATATATCAAACACCACCATGATTCTATTGTCCTTGATATCTTGTTCGTTTTCAAAAGGAAAATAATCTTACTCATAGATTTTCTGTTCCACCTGTCGCATCCATTCTCTGGCTGTGGCGTCCATCTTGCCTTCCCGTTCGGGAACGGGCTTCCTGGAAGTTGGCGATGGGGGTACGTACATATGAGTTGCCTGGGGTATCCTGTTTGCCTTAATACTCTTCTGTTTCTGACTTGGGCGGTTTGTGGTTCGCAGATCGTCCGGGAGGGGTGGTTGTCCGCCTCCGTCGAGAGTCTTGAGAAGATTGAAAGCCACCTCCTTTTCTGTTGATGAAAATATTGATGTAGAGATAAAGATTAGTAAGATTGATAACAGGACCAGTTGAGGCGGACCTGCACTCTACAAAGACCCAAATCCTGGCTACACCAATGATGGGCATCGGAGGCGGTTTCACCTCTTTTCTATCTTCAAGAATCTTACCGTAATCTGTTGCTCCTTCGATCCAGTTCTTCATGCGTGGATGCACCATCATCTTACGAGCGAGTACGGGGCCAGCTGTCTTCGGACGCTACAAGCATCGGGAACAAATACATGTACAAACAGACAGGTTAGAAAATGGAAGAATAAGCTTAAGATGGATACCAAAACGCTTGTCATTATTTGATTCATCAGGAACGCACATGAGATGGTCAGGTCCTATAAGTTCTCCTAAATCAGTGGTGGTCTATTGGACTTTGATCTAATACAACTTCCATTTTCACAATGGAGAAATATTTCTGATTGTGTTGTGTTTGCACAAGCCGTCGGAAGCCATATTGACTTCAGCAACCGACAAACCGGACCAAATATTAGTTTTTGGGGGTATTCCCACCCGATGTACAATCTCTAGAGAAGGCAAAATTGGCTACGAATTTTAATTCAGAGACACTTTTTTCTGGGCTTTAATGCCTTTTCAAAAACTGTTTGATGAAGTTCGAGAACTGTTTGGGACCAAACAAGATTCTTTTCCTTCACGCTTATAATCGCGCCATGTTTGAACATACTTAGTCTTGCTTGATGTCCACAATTCATGCATGTTTATACACACCAAACCCACACGCACTCTGTTAATCTACCGTACCTGAAGCTTGACAGACACCGGTCTCTCAGCCTCTATTCCCCCGTCAATATCCTCCCAATCCTCCTCATTCTGCTCATCGTCGACGGTATCATCAGACTGTTAATCATTCAACAAAAAGAAAACCACGGAAAACACATGCGGACGTATTATAACAAATAACCAAAAAAACTAGGCTTGAGGCGAAATGACGTCACGGTTTGTTTGCATGTGCTCTTTTTTATGGGAGCCTGTCGCATGTAAACAAAGAGTGACGTCATAACGTCTCGGGACTATTCGTCTAACCACAAACACAGCATACAAGGGGCGTGTCACTTAATAGGGCGGAGTCTTGGAATGGGCGGCAACCAAGTGCTCCTCCCACAAATATTCGCAACAAAAAAAGTAGCTGCTGTGATTTGTCGCATGCCATGGCATTTTGGGGATATTGGATTCGGGTTTTTTTAAGATATGGTATGGAATATGTGCCTTTTGCAATTTAAGAAAAACGATGGTTTGCAAATTTTAGAAGGCTAGCTATAATGCCATCTTGTTCGTGTGATTATGGTGAGGCTGCATTGCTCATAGCATACAATCTAATAGAAAGTACGCAGGAAAATGTCTTTCGAAGTGCATCCAGCTAAGAGTGAAGTGCAACACCAGCTTGCAAGGAGGATAGGCCTGTGTGAATTTTCTAAACTTACATGGTAAGAGCTTTATGCTAAAATGATATGAATATTTGGTCAAACTTTTTTTGCAAAGAGAATTTGACGTCACGAAACATTCGATGCGAAATTCGCCGGAGTCAATGTGTTCAACTATTGCGAAATCGCAGCGCAAAAACTTGCTATCACAGATTCGCGCTGAGTATGAAATGGCCTTTAAAGTACATGTACATGTACATGATTTTTCTCATGATGAAAATGTAGGCATATATTGTATGATGAAAGCAAATATGTGCTGAGTACACTACACGGGGAGTTATCTGTAACTTGCCTGGTAGTAACCACGATCGGAGTATTCAACAGAGATTTCTAACTGGTTTATAAACAAATAAAAAGGTGCAAAGCAATCAAACAAAAAATTCAACCAACGAGTGAATTCCACAGCACTTCATCAATCAATTATGCAAAAACAGCTAAAGTTCACCTGCTTAATTGGCTTCGATAACAAAATCAACACAACAAACCAGAGTTATTATTGAAAATACTCTCGTCAAGCAAACAAAATCGGAAGGAGAATTCAGACAATTGATTTTACCTTGTCAAGCAGTGGTGCCGATTTACTCCGAAGATGCTTCTGTTGGACCACCGGGACGGACCGTGGTCTACGGGCGGCGTCCGGGGGAGGCGTCGGTGGGGTGTGTGCTCTCTTCACGCCAGTTGGTCCCGGGATGTTACCTGCAGGAAACATTGTCAATGTAGCAAAGAAACCGTTACAAATCATAATTTGGCTGACACAAGAGAACCTCATGTATTCTATACACTTTTATGTTCGGCATTCATATTAAAATAAATAAGTATCATTTGGATGTCAACATTTAGTCTCTTAGTTCACAGAAAACAAGAGCTCGTCTAACTTTAAAGACTTTTACAACACGTGTGGATGAGAGACTTGATTGACAACTTGCAACATCAAGATGTCTCAACAGGAAGATGAGCTACTATTTCTTGCCAAGATGGCAAGAAACATCCTGCCATTTTAGACACTGGTAACTCTTTCAGCACAAGTTCTTGGTTTCTGTGATTTGGAAGTACTAGACAGGCGACACATCAGTCTTACTTCTTTTTAATTTCACAGCTTCATTTATCTTCCACTTTTTTCGATTCTTAGTGCTTTATTTTACTCGATTCCCAGCTCCGATAACAATCGATTCCATCGTACTTTCATTCCATTGCTTAAAACTTGTACAAAGGGTGACCGAGAGGCGGACGACCTTTACGCTAACTATCGATGACATTCCCTTGACCTAGCCAGGAAATCGTTATTCCCTGCATGCTTTTCTTGTTATGCTAAATTGTTAATCATTTAATTTGTCTATTGCGCCGACCCTTTTTTTCTACATTAATTTCCGGTTCCTTGCTTTATTGACATTAAGACTGTTTCTTTTGATTCGTCTTTCATGTTCATGATGTTCTAGGTTTCCTCCATGTCTTTTTGTTGTTGTTGTTGTTGGTTTTTGATTTATGAATAAAAGGCATGAATTAATTTTTTTTTTTTTAATGTACAGCGCTCAAATGAAACGCAAAAGAAATATCTAATAGTAACGTCTTCCACCCACCAAGACTAACCACATCTTTACCTCTGTAAGAAACCCACTGTTCTACCGGCGCGTCAGGTTGTCGAACCACCCGATAGCGGATCCCCTTGGACTGGTTGTGAACCTTGGCCGGTATTCTGACAACAATCTCCTGTTCTCCATCTTGTTCCTCCTCCACTACATCCGGGACATCTCCGTAAGACTTGGATGCTTTCTTGTAACTGTTTCCACCTACCATGAACCGACACATACACACTTTAGCAAGAGAACGACTTGTGTTTAAGAATAAAATACATTGGTTGTAAATGTTTGTTGGTTTGGGTTTTTTTCCAAATAAAATTCAGAAAAGATCCCAAACAACCTGAAAGTTGGTATATACGTGCTTTTTCGATTTTCTTTTCCGAACGAAATTTTAAGGAATATAATGTCCTGTAACAAATAAATAAGTTTGTTTTGATGTCCTTTATACAGTTTTAAAAAGTGGTTTTGGATGGCGCACTTAATTTCAGAAATTGCGTACACTATTCCGAACGAATTAGGAGCGTAACGATCTTAAAAATTCAACTGTTGAAATTAATTAATTGATTACTTGTCGTAGGCTGATTTTTAGTGCGATTTCTCATTAGAAAGCTCATAACTAATGTAATGAATGCTAGACAATTATCAATTCGATTTGGAAATCTATTTTTCAAGGTGCCACACCCAGAAAGCATGTAACACCAACTTTAACTGAATATAGAGATACTCAATCAAGTTGGTCATGTGTCCAGATCCAATTTGGCAGAAGCAGTTAGGAATCCAGTTTGATATGTACAGAGGTACAATATTCGTTATACAACGCCTGACTAAATCCCCGTCATCTGATTGGTGTGTCGTTGATCACGTGTTATTGAAGTTCCATTGCACGCCGCGGTCACACATGGGTTGCTCTGACCAATCAGATGACGAGGAATTATTCAGGTGTTGTATTAACCAAATAATGAATGCTTCACATTCGTGCAATGGAAAGAATAATTTCATTCGGTGACCGATGGAATGTTTCGCCTCGTGGAATGGAACATTCCATCTGTCACCTCATGAAATTATTCTTACCATTGCACTCTTAAACATTCATTATTCGTACATGTATAATATCAATACATGTAGTATCTTAATTGGTGAGTATTTTAATACAAACTAGCATTTACATTATTGCTTTATTTAATTAATGACACCCTTCTTGTCACACTTGACGAAAAGAATTACAGAAATGGTAGAAGAAAGACTAACACAGAACGTATGATGCGAGTGGCATCATCATCGAATTTCAAGAAAGTTAGAATTATATTTCCTTATCGTCACCCAACGTTCATACAGTCATGAAAATGACCAGACAAAATGATGCAAGTTGTGTTTAATAAAGAGATAGCATTCGCTTAAAAATGAGTGAAAAGCTTTATTAATATCCACAATATATAGACATCAGACATCAAAAATGTAAACACAGGCCACTCAGTCTGGAAAGAACATGCAAACACGACACATAATTACATACACAATTAAAATTAGTGGGCAAGTCACAAACATGATGTAAGGAAGTTTATCAATGCTAAACATTAGAATTTTAAACACGAGTTAATCAAATACAAACAGGTATTACTGTAAGCTCCACCTAGAAATTTGACAGTTTTAAAAACGAGATTAATTAAAGGAAACACCAGCTGGATAAACTGCACTGGACAACGAAAGTTAAAAGCAGACCCAGCATGCAATCAACCGGAAATCGTGACCTCTCCGTTAGATCTACTTACGTTCCCTCTTCAACTGTTTCCGGTCCTGTTTCCGGACTTTGTCCAGCATCTTAACGGTCGGTTTGACAAAGCCTTCCAAAAGGTCAACCTTTGGGGCTAAGATTTGGGGGAAATGTGACCCGAGTCAAAGGTAAATTCCAGCTGCATTTTTCTGTTTTAGGAACTGGTACAGTATCAATAATTTTCTTTAAAAAAAAGGATGTTTGTTCCCTGAACAAATATTGCTCATCAGGCAGGTATTTTTCTCCAGTTTCCGTGGAATCAAACGACTGGGAATATGTCTATTCCCCCTGGATGGGAGGCTGGTCCATTGCAGGTTACTCCCCAACTAATGCTGGTACATATTTTATACTCCTAGGTGGAGAGAGTCTAGTGGGGGTGAAGTGGCTTGTCCAAGGAAACAACATAAGTTCTAGCTAATATGTCGAGAAAATGCTGCTTGGGACCTTGGGAAAGACTCTGAATTTAGTTTCTAACGCAAATTAGGAGAAACGTCGGACATTATCAACAAATATACATGAAGAAGGCCCTACAGATACGCACCTCATGCGTGCATAGCTACAAATCCCAATTTTCTAGGTTATATTACGTAGTTTTATATAAATATTGTGATATGATTAATGTTTCACTGTAGGAGTGCCTATAGTTTATTTAAGATCGAACCAAATACATTTTGCTGCCATTCCATTTTTGTTTTTTGATGATGTGGTTTGCTCACCTCTGTTATACACGCTGTGCGTAGGACTCTTGGATCGCTTGGGTTGTTCCATTTCTTTGAGGGGGTCCCTCCCAGTTCGAACCATCTTATCCATATACTGATGCACTGCTTGGGTTACTCTAGCTCTCAACATCTGCTCCTTGTCCTGCTGCACTAGATTCGTGGGCATCAAGAAGTCCTAACAAAAAGAGGCAAACATCAATTTTAATTTACATATAAAACGAAACTTCCTAGTTATGAAAAAAATGATCGTTAGTACGTTTTCGTCTAAGCTCTCGCATCTGATGTCACACAATGAGGGCGAGTCTTTGTTTCTCCGCAATACGCATAGGGAAACATTGTGTGTTTTCATTGTCACTGAATTTGAAGAAAAAAATTGTCCTCAGTGAACAGTTCTTTCCCGTCTAGGATGTCCTTCCATCCAAAGCCATGCTCTACCATGAACATTTCAAAAACGACGAAAGGAATTTCAATCAATGTGCAGGTTTCTTGTTCTGGACGAAAACAGAATCTCCTCAGCTCACGGACATCATGCTTGAGATACTTGTGAATTAAAACATCGCTGACAGCTTTAAGCTTGAGTGACGCATCACAACATTATTGTTGGACTATACGATCGAGTATATCGCACCTAGCATATCGCACCTTGCATTTATCTCTGAGTGCTCTTGCGAAGCACTTTCAAGTTTGAAGAGAGGTTTGAAGAGGGGTGCATGCAGGGCAGGTATTGTGTGTTTCCTTGAATTTGGTGTCCTGCTGTTCCATTCAGGAAACACAAGTAATTGCGGCTAAACAGTCATTGGACAAAGTGTAATGTATGCGTATGACGTCAATAAACCACGTAGTAAGAAGCAAGGGCGGTTCCAGAACCACATTTTCGCTGGCCAAGAGGGCTCGAGTACTTTTTTTAAAAAGGGGAAGGGGATAAAGTATACATTGCATATCACATTGTGATATTAAAACTAAAAGGTATGAGTAGCTGATGGTTTGCGAGGGAGATGAGCAACGTTTTAATTTATTTCCTGAAAATAAAAACAGACATACAATAATCTTGTGGGCACGTGTGGTCTAGCGGTAGAGCACATGATTCATGATCGTGAGGTTGTGGGTTCAAGCCCCGCCGTGGCCATGCGTGTTGTACCCTAAGGTAAGGCGCTTTACCTCAATTACTCCTCTCAACCCAGGTGTTAAATGGGTACCGCCATTATTCAATGCTGGGAAGGTAACAGACTCGCTGTGGAGGAGGTGTGGCGATCCCCCACAGCAGCATATGAGTATGGCCCAATCGCTCATGAAAGAGAGATGGGCACTCCGTTCCTGCCAACACCGGTTCGTCCCCTTGTATTAAAAATACTAGCACTCTCTTTTGCAAAACTTATCTTTGGAGTCTGAAGGCATAGTAAATACCCTACACAATGGTTTTCATCCCATCTCATTTGGACATCCCCAGTTCGGAGATACAGCTTATTAAATGAAAGGACTTGAATTCCTAGTTGGGCCACTTGGTATCAAATGAAAGGCATTTACATGCATGAAGGAAGTGGCCCAAACATTTTTTTGGCAAGCTTTGCCATAACTTTTAAACAAAATGTCCAAATCAACAGAACAAAAATCATGTCAAGGGTAAAGAAACACTCTATCATATAATGGTAACTTTTTTAACAAAATAAAACCGATTTAGTTTCCTTAGAACAAAACTGTTTGACTGCTACAATTTTTTTCAGACAACCTGTATTTCATTTAGGATTTTCATCCTTGTTAATTCGTTGTTATGACGGAACACGTGACACAAATCTTTGGAGGTATGCCAGTAAACATACAAATATATTTCCCAACAGAAATACAAAGTACAACGTTCTGGGAGCCTACTGCTTGATGATGGATGAAAGCAGTTCTGTGTCCTAAAAGAAATATTTTCAGTTCTCAAACTCACGCTTTGTAACATGATTTCTGGGGGATACATTAACTGTGTTTCCTAGCAACACCGCAGATCAACATCTGACTTGTATAGACCAACAACTTCACGACAAAAAGCTTTCTCGTAATCCAGCTGGATGAGTTTGAAGACAAGTGGCAGACAACATCGATTTTAAAGAAGGGTGCCAGTGTATAACATCCATCGAACAAAATGTCACCGCCCCAGGGCATACTTGTCTTGAGACTTGTTTTCTCGCGCCAGTGACTGGAGCAGACGGGATCTGATCGGAAATCGTTCGTGGATTCTCAGGTAGACGCGTCTGAGTGATAGCGACCTGAGCTTTTCGACATGCCACAAGGATGTAACGGATATATCAAGCTATTTGATTGCAGAAGGTGCTAAAATCAAGAAGGCCATCGGCTTCAAGAGATGGAGATAGGATCGACGCTTGTAAATGTCGTAAAAGGGATTGAGATAAAAGGCGCAATGTCGTATGATTATCAAGGACACGGACCTGAGCAATAGAACTTGGAAAGTTTGGATAGTATGTGATACCATGATGTAAACCACAACTTTGAAATACAATTTCGGAGTGCTGGTTTAAAATTGTTGGCGTTCTATTCAGCCGCACTTGTTCCAGATCAGACTTATATTTTGACCAGTTATGGACACAGTGGCATAACTACGGAGGGGGGGGGGGGTGTAACGTGCCCTTGGTGCCCCCTCCCCCCCCCCCCCAGGATGCCCGTACCCCTGGGTGTCTGTCCTCTCCCTTCGTATAAAATCTTGAATTGAAAAATATATCATTTGCCTTCAGTTGCCTTCTGTAAAAATGTGAAAAATAAGTACTCCACTGAATGGACAAAACGGAAGTTATTTTACAATGCCTCTATTTATTTCAACGCTTCTGGGATTCCGTTTTTCTTTTCTCTTTTTTTTTTACCGGATTTATTCCGTTGGACTATAAGGACAGGTCGCGAACGGGCAATGTCTAACCCAAGTGTTAATACTCTTAATTCGGCCATGGACGCTAGCTTGGCTCACACCTCAAACCAGCTGTTTCAAACCAGCGGCACGATATTCAATTTATGCTTGTCTGGTTCCCGCCTCAAGCTTTTATCTTAATGGAATTGGTTTCCCAAATGAAATCATTCCATTAACACTGCACCATATCACTCGAGATCGTGGTAAGACTCAAGATAATTCAGTATAGTACATGTATAAGCTTATCAGATCTAGAACCCGTTACCATAGCAACATCCTTGAGCCATTGAAGATGAAGAAATAATTTCAAAAGAAATATCTGTATAAAAAAAATCCTTACAAAAGTTTGTTTAATCTTTTTTTAGGAAACTAATCAGGATAAATACTGAACATTATTTTTATCTTCATTTTGGAATTTGACATCCGAAGTGCGATATGTATGTACATGGTTTCATATATCCGTATCCAGAAAATCCATTTTCTCCCTCCGGAGTATTTCACAATATGAACGCATGCTTCTTTTTGTGTATGTTTTTTACGAAGTGTATTTGCATAGTGAATGGCGACCCAACTTCTCTTTGCTTTACCTCTGTTGTTTGTCTTGCTGAAGACCCAGAGTTGTTTGTTTGTTTGTCCGTTTGCTTTCATTTAACTGTGGCCAGTAGCTGACTTATCTTGTGACTTGCTAGTAAATGCAAATATTTTCAGATCTCGCTCTTGTCCATCTCTTTGTCCAACCCCAAATCAAATATTTTCTTAAAAGCTCTTCCTTTCTCTTTTGCTTGTTTCTCCGTTGGCAAGGTAGCGATTTTGCACCGTCGGAGCACGGATATTTTCACTATGCATGCTTGTGTGCGTTAACTAAAAATCAAAGGGGAAAATCACAGTAGAAACAACTTTACGACTATATCGCAAGACGTTTGCATCAAGCCTATATGACACTAGCCTGCGCAAACATAATTTTTAAATTGCCCACAGTATCTTGCCAACTTTGCATGACATACGACTACCTGCGATGGCTGTGATGAAGCGTTTTCTAGGTGTGAATCGTAGTAAATAAACGAGTAAATAAACACGTTGAGATGTGTAAGTAGTGTTTACAGGTATGCAACTTTTCTTCGGATCAGCTGATGTCCTCGTTTTTCACTTCAAACTATATGCCATTACAAATTGAAAGACACTGTACAAAGTCTTGTAAAGATTGGAGTTACCTCTTTTTTTGTGCGTTACTTCTAAGTTGCACGTCTGTGTCTGCCACGAAAATGTCATTATTTTCTAGAAGGTCTTTCATTGCGCGTTTGCTTGGTGGTGGTGGTGGGGGGGGGGTCGTTTTGCAATAGTCGTTTTATCGAGGCAGTGTTTTGGAACCACAAACTGAAAGACACAATTGTGTTCTGGTTGTCACTATTTTATTGCCGCGTCGCTTGGTAGTGCGATATTTGTTGTTGTCGGGTTGTAAAAAACAACACAAGTCATAACTCCAATCGGTCATAAAGAAGGGATTAGTGAGAACCTGCTGGGAATGGACTGCACACAACATGAAACGGAGAGACAGATAACCTTTAAATTTCATCTTGTAGTATGAACAAGTAAACTACAAGTGACCAATGATTGTTGAAAACGATAATTTGAAATAATACCTTCATCGACTGGGCTTATATTCCGCAATGGTTACATTTGATTGACATCCGAAAGGCAATGTTATCGATTTGGCACGTTAAGGAGCACAGATCTGGTTAAAAATTTATTTTTAAAATTCATCGACTACACATCGGATAATTATAATGTTGCAGGTGCATGTTGTACAACGCAATAGTTGAGATTTAAGATCTTTCACCCACTTGATCTTTGAAGAAAAAAAAATTATCAAACTTCTGACACTCGCAAATAGTTCTGCCCATTTCTGCAAATCTTGTCCGACCTCAACTTTTCAAGAGGGTCACAACGACTTTGATAATCTAGATTTTCGTACAGATTGACGATAATAAATCGTCCATTCATTTGCCGACGTACTTGTTGAGTCGACTATTGGTGACAAATTAGTTCACACACCTGACAACGATTAAGAGGTTCATGTTTTTTACTCAATTTATAATCGACACGTTGATCAAATACATTGTACACAGGCTGTGAGGTTTAGAAATGGATAAAGTCCAGAACGACTGAGTGGTGTATTAGAACAATCAAATCATAGCGTGTTATTCGGTTGTATGGGTACAATTTATGACTTTTCACAGCTAAAACGTGGGTAATAGCTCGTATTTAAAACGACATGATCTATGTGCATGTAAATCAGACAAATAAAAATTCTGCTCCCAAAAATACTTACGGATAAAGGAGCATACAGACAATCAGATTTATTCCCCAAAAAAGTGAAGTTTATTACGTAACTATATTTTGATTATTAGCGTTGATTGATAATAGTAACTCCAGGTAAGTTAGGTTTCCTACCCCGTGAGGATGAGGGTTGTTCCTCCTGAACGCAGAGGTTGGTCGGAGGCCAGCTTGTTGGAAGACTCGAGTCTTACGCTTGCTGAACTCATCTCGGTAATGTGTGTCTCCTGCAAACTTCTTGCCCGGTGGTAAGAAAGGCATGATGTCTTGGATCGCTTGCTCCTCCTGCCTGAGACTCAGTCTCAGAACTTCAAACTCGCTGCAGTGGGTGGAAATCTGCGATGGAGATTTTTTTCAAGACGTTTTGGATGCACAAATGATAACTTTTTGCCACTTGTTCCAGTTCGTATTTTTCCTATATTCGTTTCTGCCAATCTTCTTAGAACATCTAAGACCGTGAAAGACTCCACAACACGAATTTCGTTGGTGTTCTTATCTTGTTCGTCAGTGTTCTCATTTCCACCATCTGTAGCAAACCAGCATCATTGCTCTCTGATCAACTCACAACAGTTGAACACCAAACTCCTTCATTCAGTACACCTGCAGGTAAAACTCCCCACAACACCTACGCTCAGCTGTTACTGCTCGGCCACAGGTGTACCTTCAACGATTCCCCACTTATACATTGTACCTGGGTCCTTGTACTCACGCGTCCCCTCACATGCACGGTCGTCAAGCATGGCGGACCGTCAACGTAGCCCATGACAACAAGGAATTTAAGGGGTACAATGTACATCGATCCCAGACACGCTTCAGTGATTGCAAAGAACTCAAAGAGTTTTTGTCCTCCAGACTTCCCCAGCGATCGAATATCTTATCCATGTAACTCGAGATTCAATAAGCCTTTGCTTATAACTGTGTGCACGTCTTGTTTTCCTTTATACGGATCTTTGTGGGGCTTTTAAAAGTCGGTACTAATACATAGCATAACCCGCTTCTCACGCAGCGCACAACAGGAGATTAAGGGCAGAATCAAAACTAAGAAGATTTTGCCTTCTGATCACCACTTTCCTTTCCCGGTTTATGGGCGTGTTATAGAGATTGAAAATAAGCCTAAGATTCACATTATCCAGGAGGCTCATTTCTGTTCATGATTCTGTTAAGATTACAAAATGTGATTCGGAAAAATTTGGAGAAGGGTCAGGTTGACTTGTTTCTTTGCTCTAAGGTTGATGCAGTGGTATACTTTCTTCAACCTCTTCTGTTGCCCCGGTTCGAATCCCTACCAAGCCGATAAGTAGAGTGGGTTCAGTGCATGCCAAATGGGCCTCCACATATCCCTCTTTATAGAGGTTTCCTCCCACCTCAAAATATATGATTTCTTCATCGTCTCTTCGTGCTTGTGAGCTCGTAGTGGATATTTTTGGACAGTCTTTGCCTACAACAAATGCCTGAAATTGAATTTGAGTGATGTAGGCCTATTCCTTCTCGCCAACGTATTGGTTGGTATGGCGGCTATGGCCTCGGCTTGACCGTTCGTGTCCAAGTTTCAGCCCTTCTGAATGGTGTCAGTAGCCTCCCTGGCGTAAGTGGATCTAATTACTGAAGGAAAATGTATAGGCCTAAACAAACTTATATCTGGACAGATGCGCATAGTGAAGCTTGTTTGCTACGAAGGACGCATTGGTGATACCATTTGATTAGCCACGTTGTGATGTTAACCTGACTTCACTGAGCCGTGTTATTTAATTACAGAAAATGTAGCCCGGTTCTTGGTTCCTGAAGCTTGTGATATTATTACTGACAGCTGAGATGGATACTAGACAGACATTATAATATACAATTAGATATACTGATGTTTGACCTCAAACAGTGTGCATTTCACTGAGTGCCCGAAAGAGCTTAAGAATCCTCCACACTTTGGAGAGACGGATAAGGCGTAAGTAAATCACGAGATGGCGGTGTAACATTTGTGCGGTTTCCGTGGAAATTTGCCACAAATCTGTTGATGAGCGGACAGTACAGAGCGGTTCCAGTAGCAGATAGGGGGGGGGGGGGAGGGGGTTCCCGTCCCCTTCAGCCGCTGACTAATGTTATGATACTCAGTGGAATGATGAAGTTCTCTCAAATCGCTTTAGAATGCAGGAGAGGGCATCATAGATTTCAGTTTTGTTGTTGGGGGGAAAGTCTTCACTCAGCCCCCTTTTCATATCAACCCACCCCCCCCCCCTCCCCGAAAGCTAGACTCGCCCCTGGGTGCCTTGTGTTTGAATTCAGAGCTTTTGTTGAATCCAAGATGAAATTTGAAAGAAATCCCCGCCGAAGGAGAATGTAATTTGTCGGACCAGTTACCAAATAGGCCTATGCCAAATTAAATAAAAACACGAAAACAGTCTTTCAGGAAACTGTCGTTGTTAAAAACTGTACGAGAGGTGCTCTTTCGCAATTTCCCCACCGTGACCCTGTTTCCATGCCGACGCGTCTATCAAACCTTTAAAGTGCAGCTATCGCGATTTTATTCTTCCGTCAGCAAACAGAAACACCACTCCTTTCCAACTGCACGTCACGATTTTGTAAACCAAATAAAAAACTTGTTTAAACAACTGTTTCACACCGCTGATACAATAACATTTTTGACGGGTCAGATTTTTCATGAGGTTTATCACACACGAACCGTTACCAACAATCATATATCTCCTTTGTTTGTGTGGATATTATTGTAAGGTATTACATCAGACAATCAAAAGTGCGTTTCTAGGGTTGAGAAGGAAACCAATCCACACTTAACAGGTGTCATGGAGAACTGACTGCAGAATTAAATATCCATTAAATTAATAGCAAGGCACAAATTATTTCCTGTTTTCAAATTGAAGGGTTACTTCGTCCAGTTACATATTCAGCAAATGTTTGCTTTGTGGCATTTGGAATAGTGTGTCAATTTGCTTAAATGACACCAACTGGGTATAATTATGTCTTCGATGAAGTTGGTTGCCAGGACAACAAACGTATCACAAACATATACACAGCTTATCATTGAACAGAAATTCAGTGCAGTGCAATGCAGTATAATTACTAAAGACTGTAAAACCTTGATGTTGAAAGACCCTAAAGATGAATCTATTTCTGAACTTTCGAAAAAGACACCTGGTTTGTCACCTGTAAAGAGTAGCAGTAGTTTATTTTAAATAGGGGTCACGAAATGTAGAAATAAATTGTTTTTGGTGTCTCGACAAGAAAATGGTTTCAATATTCGTTGATGGTCTCAGTAATCAATTATTGATGTCATTGTGGTCACTGACTTGTGCACCTGGTTTTCAAACAACATCATTTTCCCCATCAGCTTTCGGCGTATCGTCTCGGCAGAGATGGGCCAAGTCGCAGCTGCAAGCCGTGGAGGAAATGCAGTCCGGCGCCGCCAGGATCTCCCCGTCATGATGGATCTGTCTCCCCGTGAATCGGCTCCACGCTGCACGCTCCATCATTCAAAATCACCTGGGTACTCATCCACTGACAAGGGGGATGGTAATTATCTAAAGCCTTTAGTTGGACTTTTGTTACTTTTTTTCATGGAATTACCAGTCATTGTGCGATGACGAAGAGCGACCTATTGTGACTGTACTTTTTTTTCCAAGGAAATTGCATTGTTGGAAAATATATCACATTTTATATAAAATAAGTTCTTTAGTCCGAACCAAAATTGTTTAAATGAAACCTTGAAATGCAGACCCCTTCATGCAGACCCCTGAAAAATGTTTGGTTTTCGTGTGGTCAATTCTCCGTGTTTCTGTGTGTTTGTGTGTAGGCGTATGTGCCATTTTTTACCATTTCGGGTTTCTAGGTACAAATTTACAAACAAACACGCCCTGGAAAAAAATGTCCATACCAAGTTTGCTTTAAAAGGTTCTAACTTCATTCACATGGAAAGAAAGACAAATAATCACACACAACTGGCAATCGGCCTAGGTAGGCAACAAGAATTTCATTAGCCCTTATTTGCTGTACGAAGTCAATTGGTTTACTCAGCTTGTCAATAAATAAACGACGTTTACACGGCGTAAAAGAGACTAAGCAACTTGACTGAAAAATTCATGGCGTCACCAGGCATTGGACAATGACCAAATCCCTGTCGGATGGCCCAAGTCTTTTGGAGGTCTTTATGCATGTACCTTGAATACGGACAATAGACTGATCCGCTTGAGTGGAAGAACCATAAATATTGAAGGAGATTTCACGAGTGAAGGTTTTTTTGTGTTGGGAGGAGCCCACACATGCATTCTCCCGGATTTCTACTTTCCCATGGTGCAAGGAAACAGGCCCCAATTTCTTTTTCATGGAACTTCATTAACAGTGCGTGACTCACGGCAAGGCTACCAGAAAATGTTCAGCAAGTACCGCGCGGTGAAAGTTCTCCTTACATTTGGGATGTGAGACGGTGGAATATCCATTTAACAACTTACAAGGCACAATAGAAAAGCTGAATTTTCATGCAGTAATATTGAATTTGGGATTTAAAATAGGGAAAAGCATAAACAAGACATGTCTAAACAGCAAAGCAATTTATATTTCTTTGACAAAATTATTCTAAAATCAACTGGAAAGATTCTGGATGTAGGCCTAGATAAATTGAGCTTAAATAAATGCAACAATTCTGATGATGCCTTCTTCAAGGTTTATATAGATTCTGATGAAACCAATTTTAATCTGAATGTTATAATCAATGACTATACTTACTGCTTTAGGATGAGGATTGTTGGATCTGTGTCCGCAGACTGGACCGGGGATTAAATTCAGCATGTTGAAAGGCGGACCGGCGAACGTCATGATGACGACAGACGCTTTCCTCACGCTTCACAGGAATCAAAATTTCAGGAGATGAAAAACAACCCTGAAAGTTTCGATGAGAATTCGCTAACAATTGATGTCACGATTTCAGTTCAGTAATTTTAAAGATTGGTTGAGATGGATCGTTGGGGAACATTTACAGCCGCGTTGGATGGCAAGACAACTCTCCAGACTTTAGTTAAGGCCACATTACGCATTTACATCCCACGAAAGAACATTGATGAGCTCTTCCGGAAGGCCCCAAGATGCCGCACAGTCAGCGTCTTGAAACATCTACCATTCTGAGACGAGGTGACTTTCAAGTCGACTTGAGCCTTGAGGAACCTTTCGCATCAGATGAGAACTAAGTTTTCCCCAAGTCCCATGGATGGCCCAACAGTGCTACCCCTCCCTCTATCACAGAGAGCAAGTGCCTCTATCCACACCAATCCATACACGTGTAGACTGGACTTGTTGATGGTTGCTAACACCATCACCAGACTAGAGACCCTTGAGCATACACACACACTCATCCATGATGTATGTCACACGACGACCCTTTCATTCACAGCTGATCATGGTCAAGAGATAATACATGTACATGTAATAGTATTGACTTATTGGCCCGTACCATTTTAATCGATGGGGTCCTGACATCGCAATCTCAATTTGATCTACTGTTAAATCCATCTCATCCTCATTTTGTTTGTAGACAAGTCTTATTATTTGATTAGTTATTACCGTGAGATTAACAAAATAGGTGAAGTAAGATTTTACAGCATTTTTGTTTTGCAAAAACTCAATTACTTCCGGTTCTTTGTCATTCGACATCCCCTTTTGAAAATAGAGGAACCGACTTCAATGACAGAAACGTACTTTCATGATAATGTTATTGACTTAAACGATATTGATGAATATATTGACCTTTTCTTTTAACCCCCCCCCCCCCCCGACACTGAATCCACTTCTTTATGTGAGCCCTCATGCGCCAGCTCTAGACCAGCAAATCGAAATTCTAGTCACATTATTCACCCCTCGACCAGTTCGGCGCTCGTCGGTCTACACACCCAATCAAATAGATTCCCATAGACAACAGTGATAAATGCCCATACTTCAAAATTCTTTTAAAAATAATCAAAACTCTGACAGCTGTTCATGCTGCACAGAAAAATGATGATCACAAGTCATCTTTCATTTTCTTTTCAATTTTTGGTGGGTTGACCGATGACTTTTCGAGAAATTCTCATCCAAAGAAGACGACCCCTATTTTCCCCAAAGCGGAAAAGTAGCCACCTTGAAAAACGATTCCTCCTTAACATGGCAAAATAGCGCCACTTTCGAGCCCAATTGCATCCAAAATGCTCAGAATAGACCGCTTGCAGACGCGATCGATAATTGACGCGCGAAGGTGCACGACGCCATGCTATGGGACAAAATGTGCATGGATAGATATACGCCTGTCCCACAACATGGCGTCGCGCGCCTTCGCGCGTCGATTATCGAACGCATCTGCAAGCGGTCTATTGGAAGCCCCAAGTCCGGGCCAGAGGTTCATTGCCATGTATCTTGAATTCCCCAATTTTACGGCTCTCAGAACTCTCTAATATAGAATATTTTTATTCATGAGTTCGGCGAATGGGTTTAGGCCTATTTACAGGTGTGCACCCCTAGGGAAACTAGAATCAGTTGTGGAATGCGCGCGCACCTGTTTTGCCTAATATATGCAGCGCGCATTCAAAACATTTCATTGTAGTTCCGAACCAAATTCTTAAATTTCTTCCAGTAGTAAAAAGGTGCATCAAGACATTTGTGCAACTTCACTGGTCAGCTCTTTTGTTGTGTGTAGTGTGCGTGGTACTTAAAATGGACTGTAAGGTTCCAGACCAGTATAAACTTCCATAGACCCCAATGGTAAATGCTCCCACTTCAGAAATTCGGGAAAAATACTCACAACTCTCAAAGGGGTTCGAGACACACATCAAATTAAAGCTTATTTCATCATCCTTCCTTTTCTTTTCAATTGTTGGGGGGTCAGCTGATGACTTTTAGAAGAAATTTCCATCCGAAGATGATCACCCCTGAAAATAGTCCTGAAGCCCATCGCCATTTTGAAAAACGATGCCTACACTCCATTGCAACATTGAGTTCTTTAAGGGCCCCAATTTCATCCAAATTGAACGGAACTACAAGCTCACAGTCCTGTGCACGGCTTACACCCATATTTTTTACAAACCCTCAAGTTCATGGCGCACAACATGCTCAAATACTGAAGATTTTGTGGGCATGCAAATCGTGATTTGGCCAGCGAAAGCAGTTTCGGACCGATTTACTGGTCTGCAACCGTAATTGCCTGCAGAAGTAGCGCATGCGCACTAGTTCCCTCATTTTTTTCGGGGTGAAATTTCACGATTTACGTGATAACGCCCTCTCGCGACGCGGCGACAGGTTATCGCGTATTAAACCATAACAACTGTGACCTATTCAAAGTAAATACATAGTATTTGTACATAAATTTGTCTTTAATAATCCTCCTCAAGTTTTTATGAATAACTTTGTATCTAATTGTTCTCCACATAACTTTAACACCCGTCACCTTAATCACAGTCAACATCTTGGAGTATCCTACTAGAACGGACAACCCAGCAACCTAAAAGCAACGAACAATTCTAGAACCTTTTAAAAATTACTGAAGAAAAATCCTCTAATCATATTCCTAATCCTAGCACGTCATAAGTCTATCTAATCACTTTTTATACACTCTTCCCCATTCCAGCATTGCTTGATTTACACCAGCGTTATCTTTCGCATTGTTTAAAAGTTGTGTCATAATTTTGATGTTCATTTGTTTTCCTTATTAATAAGGGAATAAATATGTGCTCCAGAGGTTTTTATCACTCTGTTTAAGACCACTTAGAGTCTGGGTGCTGATAATTACCCGAGCCGGAGGCGAGGGTAATTATCAGCACCCAGACTCTAAGTGGTCTTAAACAGAGTGATAAATACCGACGGAGCACATATTTATTCCCATTCATAAATACCTTTTCGGAAAAAAAAATCATGTAATTTGTTAAAACATCCCGATTTTGTTCAACAAATTCACTTTATGCTTTTTGAAACATCCCTCTTACAAAATAATGGAGTGTTCAGCTGGCGAGATAAGATGTAAACAACCCTTTTATGGAGATTGACGCGCGTGTATCATGTTCTGCGCGATGTCGCGCAGAACGCACCTGGCGCGTTGCATTTTGAATTTAGAACTATAACATTCTGACTCCCTGGTAGTGTTGCGCATGCCTACGTGAGGATTGTGAACGTTCAACCAATGAAACGATAAGAGGCACTGGATTTTTAGGAGTCCACATTTTATTGTGACACTGGAAAAGTGTTTAAGACCAGCTAGCCATGTCTTTATCATCCGTTTAAGACCGGCCACGTGACGGGCTCTCGACCAATAGGAATGGCTAAACTGTCTGAGGTATTTATGAATGATTAATTAATGTAATTTCATTTAAACTGATCCTTTGACCTTGAAGGAGCCCGGCCTTGATAGCAATTATTTGCTCACCGGTATCCTACTCATTGTATTGCCTGCCATAATCGTTAATTCTTTGATTATACCGGTATGTAGTTTACAATGTGGTGACATGAATCCATTTATTTATTTCTATTCGCTAGAAAACAGCAATTAAAAAAATAAAAATCGGGAGAGCAACCGTTAATAAAGAAGCATACCGAAATATGAATACTTGGTTTTACCATTACTGAAAATGATTGCCACAAATCGATCCTTTGGGCATATTATCTTTTCCAGATAGAGACGTGTATATACATTTTAACTAATCAGTAGTTTATGCCCAAAAATATATTACACTAAAAACAAATTACAGTAAAAGTAAACCAAATATACAAATGTTACATTTACAGTTCTGTCACAATAATGGTTTTAGCTTGTAATGTTTTACGATTACAAAAATAAAATCAGAGAAGAATCGGTGCTTTTTTTCTTCATATTCTGCTCCAATACGATTCTGACGAGTAATATACGTGTATACAGTTTGTAAACAGAGTATAGGCCTACCGTAAATAACCAAACTCTCCGGTAATTGATTTACTTATGGGCCTAATATAGTTATTTATACCCGTGATTTTTTCTGACCAAGGATGGAAGGCCAACCATTATATCTAGCCCTCGGCCCAGCCCTTATCCCAATCTCCACCCCACTCCAACACCAACTGCGGCTTAACAAGCTTCCGCCAAACCCCAAATCAGGGCGGAAGTTGATGGGTTGGAGTAATCATTCAAAAAAAGTAGAGTGCCTAACGTTCAATCTGCGCTGTAAAAAGAAATTTGTAATTTTACACAGTTCCAACCTGTGAATAATTTTTACAGCAATTTTCATGTTGACATTACACTAAAATTTTCTTTTATAACATAATCTAGTTTATGTCCGATATTGGTTGTAGAATATGTCTACAATGAACGGGGAATACCGTCTCCCTCGGTTACACACTGCTCCTTTACGCATGCGTGTTTTCAATATTGGGTTTTTGCCACTGATCTCTTTATATAGAGATCAGTGGTTTTCGCTCGCTTTCATAACGCCTAACTCGCGGCTGCGACTTAATTAGGCCGCAACATAATAATATAATTACTCGATCGCGACCGCGACTTAATTATGTCGCGACATAATAACTCACGTCGCGGCCGCGAGATGAATAAGTCGCGGCCGTGAGTAATGCGTTATGAAAGCGAGGCCAGCTACCATGAAAGAGAAACGCACCACCGTGAAAGAGAAACGCACCACTGTGAAAGAGAAAGAGGTACTTGGCCCTAACGGGCTTCCGTACTTGTCCAACCCTCACAACCGCCAAGTTTGTAAAGCTGCACGCAAAGTTTGCTTTACGTGCTTAATACAAAGCTGATCATTGTGCTGTCATAATAATAGACATCTATCGAGATCTGATTTTTCGAAGGCATCCAGAAGGTTCGGGGATCATGTGGTATCGGCACCGCAACATGTGACGGAACACCTCTTTGAAGTGTGGGTGTTTGGCCCCGTAGATGATCGGGTTGACAGCGCTGTTGAAGATGATGATCATCCCGGTCCAAGGAATGACCGGGTCGCTAGGTGGTATCATGAGGGCGATGGCGAAGGGAGCCAGGCAAGCAACGAAGGCACAGACCACGTAGAACAGGTTCTTAGTGATTTCCACCTGTCGCTTACTGAAGCTGGCAGGTGGATTCTTGTGGAGCTGTGTGGTGCTTGCTGCGGTGGAGAAATGCGAAGTATCTGTCATTTCAACTCCCTTGCCTTTCCCCATCATCTTCTTCATGTGGCCTGTGATGTGGCGGTAGATCTTAAAGTAACACACGAAGAGGACTATCAGAGGGATTGGGTAGATCAAGGCAGAGCTCAACGAGCTGAAGAGGTCACTGGTTTCGTGGGAAGTGTCTTGGGTGCAGGTCTTGTACTTATCCGAGTAGCCTAATTTACCGACTCCCAAGATAGGAAGGCAACACACCACCAGAGCAGGGTAACCCCATGTGAAGACCACCATAGCTGCAATCTTCTTAGGTGTGTAGATGGAGCGGTAGGTAGCTATTGTCTTCGTGATGAGGACATACCGATTGATCGAAATAGAAGCCAAGGTCATGATGCTACAGGCAAGGCCAATAAAGCCGAAAGCAGCTATGTTAGAGCAGACGATTTCTGGCATAGGCCAACCACTCATGCTGAACAGCGCCACCGCGACGAAGGGGGCACAGAAACACGTCAGCAGGTCAGCTACGGCCAAGTTGACGACGAAGACGTTGGTGCGAGTTTGGAGTTTCCTTGACAAATTGACAGCCAGGAGGACCATGACATTGCCCACAAAGCCAACGACGCTCACCAGACAGATGATAGTTGCCATGATGGCTCTCTGAGTGTAGTCTTCAAATCGAAAGCCTTGAAGAGGCCCTTCAGTCGTGGATGCAATCACTGAAGCAATAGTTATGTTCTCGTGCGGAAATGTGTCTGATGTCATGAAAGAATCGGGAGAATTTGCAGACACGGAGATGAACACTGTCTCACTGTCTGGTGTCATGGTGGACATCATATCAGTTGTCATGGCAAACGTATCGGTTGTCATGGTCATTGATGAAACAATAATCTCCAGGGCGGTTTGATGCTATTTGATGGCTAGCGATGGTATTCAGGGCAATCTTCTGTGCTTTCTGTTTTGAAAAAGTAAAATGATCGCAAAACCACTCAAGCATGTAAGATCCCTCACAAGTCAATAAAGAAAGGAACTAATATTAAAAGCCCAGCAGCTTAAACCGTAACGTTACTGGTTAGCCCACGCGCTTTTACAATGTCATGATAATAGGACACACTCTGTCGTTTGGTCTACGTCGTGGCTTTTGTTGCTCTGTACTTATGGAAAAGTTTTGCTTGTTATATTCGGCTCAACATGAAGAATGACTACGCAGATGTCCCGCAATTTTAACAGTATAATTTGCCGTATACTTTACGCTTAAGTACGGAATGAAAAACGGGGTTTTGGGTGATGGGGCGCGGGGTCGGGGCTGGTGCCAGGGTTGGATCGATCGGAACCAATTGTGGCAGCCGGGGATGTGGCATGCAGACTTTGCTTTGCTTAATGTTTCATCACGTATTGTGATGTATATTTACATGATTTGTGATTATGTGTACATGATTACGGAAATGAACCTGTGTATGAATCAGTGCGGACACCGACATTTCAGGAATTCGCACTGTCCATAATTTTAGTTCTGGGCCTTCGTTTGCATCAATGGCTGCCAGGTAGGACTAATCTGCCTTAAGTTTTACGGGATATTGTTTGTAGGTCGGGTGAGGTCAAGATGTATAAAGGCATATACACAGGTATAATTTATAATGGCCTGGGCCTTATAATGGAAATGCATTAATATTCATTCATTTCCTTAAATGGAAATGCATTAATATTCTTTCTATAAATTCCCCAACCCATGCAGCCATCGGCTTTATATGCTGTGATGTTATCATTTTACTTTAACACAGAGCTGAACACGTTGCGAACTTTTTTTTTTTTTTTTTACAGAAGACTTGAAATGCCCCTCGGAAAACTCTACTCAGGTTGTCCCCTGATGTTCATCGATTAGCCTATTCGTAGTCGTAGGCCTACACAATTTCGTCTTATGTTCCCACTGCATTTTACCCTCAGCATGCTAAGACTTTGTATTTCATGTTTTGTCAATGCTTCGATATAGGTCTACAGCTTAAACTCTCAAGAATGAAGAACGAGTACGGTACTTACATTACCTGGTTTTAGATCTTGGTGCGTGACAGCATTTCGTTACAGACTAGCGAAGTTAATATCTGCTTCTCCGCCAAACTGATAGTGTCCACATTACAGCTGGAATGACCATGAGCGCATCATGTGATCATTGGGGTGGACAATACAACTCTACCATTCCAAAATTTGATGGTTAACTATTATTGTACAATGGGAAATTTCCATTTCAATACAGTCTCCTTATTTACTGTCAAACGGCCTTGTCACACCTGGACATGGTTGGCAAAGCTTTACAGACTGCTGAGCCAATTCCGGGGATTTATTACCCCACCAACACCCCAGCAACCGTGCACACTAGACACATTATTTTGGTAACTCCCGGGAGCACTATTTCCCGGGAATATGCACAGTCGTTTCACACTCGCAATCAAACCCCGGGAATTGTGCAAATGTTTGTGGGCGAACAGTCGGCCATTAATTTCGAGAAAACTGTCCAGTTTCTCGTAGATGATGACGTTGAGAAATACACATCGAGAATTGCTACCCTATCCCGGCGGACACCCAGCCGGCCCAGCCCGGCGCCCGGCCAATTAACCCGCTCTTCCGAGTCGGGCCGCACCGGCGAACTACAATAAAATGTTCCCGCAAGCATTGTCGGAGCATGCCATAAGAACAAACAGGCCTCTTTTTACTACCAATCTTATCATCTTTTTATTTTCAGCAACGACTTTGTGACGTCAAAAATCAACTTTTTGATCGCAACTTTCTTCGGAAAACATACGGCAATTCGCCATGCATGATATGGACGGATCATCTAAAGATACGGTATCTAAAGGGGTGCTTTTAATACCTTTTTTAAAGTTTTACATCGTTTGTCGAATAAATTCTTTCTAACATGGAAATGTTTCGGACTTCATTAAGAGTATTTTGTATAATTTTGGAACGGTGGAAATGCTGATAAATGTTCTTAAAAAAGAACATGGTACACCCCTCCAGTAAATGGTGTGATCCACATTGGTGACATGCACATTACACTGTACACTGTAGTACTGCAGCTCAGCACGTGCTTTTCATCGAAGAAATGTTCATGGAAAATGCCTACGAACGTGAGACAGTTTTGGAGGATAAGGCCAAAAAAAAAAAAATCGATCTCTGGTCAGACCGAAGTTTTTTCAAGCTTGAATTGTACAGACAAGGTGGGTACTATTTTGCTTTTTGTGCCCTCATTATACATTGGTGTTCTCCATAAATTGCCTTTGTGCCCTTTATCATTTGCCCATTCCTTGGTGCTCCTTGGTACAAAAATTTGAGGAGGTGCGGCAGTAGAGGGCGCTGTTGTAGCTTGTTGTAGACGGCCCGATCAACAAACTGCACACCCAATTATTGCATCGCACACTGCGATTACTTCCGAAAATTCGGAGTACATGTACTTGAATATTGTGTCGCAAAATGCGATGCGATACAGGGGAAATAAAAAGGTGGGGTAAGTTCAAACAACCCGCTTTTGTTCACACTAGTTGCTTTTCCCCGGAAAAAAACGTGAATCCCTGGGGTTTTCTCCCTTAACCCCACTCCCGAGCAGGGGTAAATATTTCCCAGGGAAAAGCTATTTCCCGGGGATTTCTTTGGTAGTGTGAACAGACCGACCGAACTTCCCCGGGAATTTCCCGGGGTATTCCCGAATTCCCAATCGCGCACCCCTATGCAAATGAGGACTAATTCATTCCGTTACATGGGGAGTTCTTTTCAATACGTCGGGGACATGTTTGCAGATCTGGTGACGTTTTAACGACCAGTACACTCAGCTAGGTCAATAGTGTATTGAAATCAAATGTATCATTGTGATATACTTGATTTATTTGAGTCGTGTATGCCATATAGTGAATGTTGTAATGTTACACAACACAAAGTACAAACCCTCGAAGTAATGAGAATAATCTTCCGTGGCGGCCTAGAATACACTCTGTCTCTGAACCAATCAGAGTGCTCGCATAGAATTCGCTAGCGCAGGCGCGGTTCTGGGGGGGGGGGGCTAAGGGGGGCTTTAGCCCCCCCCCCCCCCCCCCCAATTTTGTTTTGTCTAGCCCCCAAAAATAAATTCCGTAAAAAAACCCAAATTGTATTAGCAAAAAGAAGGATTGTGATGTACATGTGTACATGCGAACGGTCTCCCCCTAAAGAAATAGTCGTGAAAAGGGTGCATTTGTAGTTAATATAGTGTTAATGATTTTAGGATTTTATTGGCGCTCCCCACCTATTGATTTTCGGAGGCCTAAGTGTCTGGAGAAAATAAACGGTCTACATTTCAGCACGCCTCCCTGAAAAAATTCTGGATCCACCCTGCTAGCCCCACCCCCTCCCAAAAATATTGGTTCTAGAACCGCGCCTGCGCTAGCGATTCAAAATACCCCATTATGTTGTGTACAAAATTGAAAACGTATTCGCCAAGTCGGAATTGATCATGAATAGTCAGCATCATTTGGTCATTTGGTAGAAATTCCTCTAATCAAATTCCTAGCACGTCATCAGTCTATTTCATCACTTTCAACACTCTTCCCCATTCCAGCGTTGCTTGATTTACACCAGTGTATCTTTTGTTTTGTTCAATGTTCGTGTAATAATTTTGATGTTCATTTGTTTTCCTAATTAGTGATTAATTAATGTAATTTAATTAACACTGATCCTCTGACCTTCTAAGAAGCCCGGCCTTGATAGCAATTATTTGCTCACCGGTATCCTACCCATTGTATTGCCCAGTGGCGCACCCAAGGGGGGGGGGGGCTCGAGGGCCCCCCAAGAGGTTGCCCTTTTTGGGGGGGGGGGGGGGTGGGGAGGGGTAGGTTTTTTGGTTAGTCCCACGACTTGACCTTGGTGATATGTATGTGTTCTTTTTTTTTCAAGTAGGGTGTAAGTGAGGCCTTCAACGTCAAAATAGTCCGCCCCCGAAAAAAACACCCCAATTTTTTTTCTGCAGCCAAACACTTTGGGCAACATTTTTTGAAGAAAAAAAATTAAACTTCTAAAAAGTTTGAAACAAAAATTGTGAGCCCCCCCCCCCCAGCCAAATCATGGGTGAGCCACTGGTATTGCCCAAACCACTAGTATTGCCTGCCATAATGCTTTGATTAAAGTATATGTGTACTTAACAATATGGTTAAATAAATTCATCTATTCATTTCGATTCGCTAGGAAACAGCAATATGAAAAATAAAAATCAGGAGAGCAACCTTTAATAAAGAAGCATACCGAAATATGAGTAGTTTTCATTTACAATTACTGAAAAGGATTGCTGCAAATCGATCTTTTGGGCATATTATCTTCTCCATATAGAGACGTGTATACATTATTTTATCTCATCATTATGCCCAAAAAATATATTACACTGTATAACAAATTGAAGTAAAAGTAAACCAGATATAAAATGTTACATTTACAGTTTTCTGTCACAGAAATGGTTTTAGCTTGTTATTTTCTTTAAGATTACAAAATTAAAGTCGGAGAAGAACCTAGAAATGATATATAGAATCGGTTCTTTTTATATTCTGCTCCAATACGATTCTGACAAGTAATATACATGTACATTGTATACAGGTTTTTAAACAGGCCTACCGTTAATAACAAAACTTGCCGGTAATTTATTTACTGAAATGGGCCCAAGGCTCATATTATTAGTTATTTATGCCCATTCATTTTTCCTGAATCAGGATGGAAGGCCAACCATTTAAAATTTAAAAATATAGGGTTTAAAAATATATATTTAAAAATATAGGGTCGGTCGGGTAACCGGAAACAGAAGTATTTTTTTTTTGGGGGGGGGGGCCTTATCTCTAGCCCTCACCCCAGCCCTTATCCCAATCCCAAAACCCTCTCCAACACAAGGGCGGAACCAGAACACAGTTTTTGGGGGCCCCAAAAAAATTTGGTTCCCAAAAACTGTGTCCAAAAACATTACGGCGTGGGGTTCGGGGCCCGCTTATATAAGGCCCCGAAAAAATGTTGGTTTCTAGATGCTGTGGTGCGCGCGATCTGAGGCAATTTCTGACTACTTTAACCAATGGGTTTTTTTTAGGAAAAGATGGTGGTGTACCTGCCTTTATTGCGAAGTCAACCTTAAAAAAATGGATTCTTTGGGCGGGGGGGGGGGCATGGCCCACTTTGCCCCCCCCCCCCCGGATCCGCCCTTGCTCCAACAACATCAACTGCGGCTTCACAAGCTCCCGCCAAACCCGAGGCTATCAGGGCGGAAATCATTCAACATTCTGCACTGTAAGCACAATCTGTAATTTTACACACATCCAAGCTGTGATTAATTTCTACAGTAATGTTCATGTTAAGATTACACTAAAAATTCCCTTTCTTGCACAGCATCGGTTGTAAAATATGTCTACAATAAAGGACCGTGTCTCTGAGTTGCACACTTCTCATTATACGCATGCGTGTTTTCAATGTTTGGTTTGGCCCTTCAACCACGTGTTTTTATAAACAATGAATGGGAGGTTTGGGGCAATACCATGTGAATAAAAGATATCTCTTAATGAGTTAACAGGGTTCTGAGAATTAAGAACGAGTGGGTTTTGGTCAATTTTCGGGACAGACAGACAGACCGACGGAAAGACATACCGACCACCAAGTGGCATGTAGAAGCTCCTGCCAAAGCTTAAAAACTTCCCCATAACGCGGTGACGGCCCAATCCCCGCCCACGTGCAGGCGTCTTACCACTCGACCGTACCACCGAGCTAGCAAGGGTCGGCTGGCTGGTTCGAATCTGATATAGCAGCGGGTACCGCAACCAAATTATGCGTATTTCGTTTCATAAAACTTACAGAAATAATGCAAAGAAAGTATCTGATTTTCAGAAGAAATTCTGGGACATTTTAGGTGCTATTTACGTCTTAGAGGAGCATGCACAACCCTGTAAAATCTAATACGCGAGTGTTGTTTTAGATTTTTTTCGGGGGGTGGGATGCGTGGTCCCAGTTGAGAGTATGTCGTGGTCCCGCTGGACTCTCCTGATGTTTTGAAGAGCGATTCAGCAAGTATCGTCAGACATTCTATCGAGATCTGATTTTTCGAAGGCATCCAGAAGGTTCAGGCATCGTGTGGTACCGGCACCGCAACATGTGACGAAACACCTCCTTGAAGTGTGGGTGTTTGGCCCCGTAGATGATCGGGTTGACAGCGCTGTTGAAGATGATGATCATCCCGGTCCATGGAATGGCTGGCTGGCTGGGTGGTATCATGAGGGTGATGGCGAAGGGAGACAGGCAAGCAACGAAAGCACAGACCACGTAGAAAAGGTTCTTAGTGATTTCCACCTGTCGCTTACTGAAGCTGGCAGGTGGATTCTTGTGGAGCTGTGTGGTGCTTGCCACGTTGGAGGAATTCGAAGTATCTGTCATTTCAACTCCCTTGCCTTTCCCCATCATCTTTTTCATGTGGCCTGTGATGTGGCGGTAGATCTTAAAGTAGCACACGAAGACGACTATCAAAGGGATTGGGTAGATCAAGGCAGAGGCTGTATGACTGAGGATGGCACTGGTTTCGTGGGATGTGTCTTGGGTGCAGGTCTTGTACTTATCAGAGTAGCCTAATTTACCGACTCCGAAGAAGACAGGAAGGCAACATATCAGAGCAGGGTAAACCCATGTGAAGGCCACCATAGCTGCAATCTTCTTAGGTGTGTAGATGGAGCGGTAGGTAGATGGTGTCTTCATGATGAGGACATACCGGTTGATCGAAATAGAAGCCAAGGTCAGGATGCTACAGGCAACGCCAATAGAGGTGAAACCAGACATGATGGCGCAGACGATTTCTGGCATAGGCCAACCAACCTTGCTGAACAGCGCGACCGCAGTGAAGGGCGTAGAGGAGCACGTCAGCAGGTCAGCTACGGCCAAGTTGACGACGAAGACGTTGGTGCGTGTTTGGAGTTTCCTTGACAAATTGACAGCCAGGAGGACCATGACATTACCCACAAAGCCAACGACGTTCGACAGACAGATGATAGTTGCCATGATGGCTCTCTGAGTGTAGTCATCAAATCGAAAGCCTTGATGAGGCCCTTCAGTCGTGGCTACAATCATTGCAGCAATTGTCATGTTCTCGTTGAGAAATTTGTCTGATGTCACGAAAGAATCGGAAGAATTTGCAGACATGGTGGAGAAGACTGTCTCACTGTTTGGTGTCATGGTGGACTTCATCGTGGCAAATTTATCGGTTGTCATGGTGGCCGAGGAAACCAATACTTCCAAATCGAATGAAAGATTATCTCGGCTATTTGATGGCTAGCGATGGTATGTTCGTAGATCTTCTGCACTTATCTCTCAAGCACGTAAGTTCCCTCTCTAGTTAATAAAGAAAGGAATGTTTAGCCCTACCCATATGTGTGTGTCGGTGCCCACATGCGTGTGTGTCAAGTGTGGATGTTTGTACAGTGTCAAATGAAAATAATACACGCTCTATCGTTTGATCTACATCCGGTCTTATGGGGAAGTTCTGCTATGATATTCGGCTCAAAACGAGGAATAACTTATCAGGATAAACGTCATTGTTCGGCCAAAGAAAATATTTCCTCAAGAAATAAAAATGCAAAGTTCAAACATTTGGAATGTTTAATTTGCCTCCACAGAAGGAATTATCCCCCGCGTTAAATTGATGTTCATTTTTTACTAGTACAAAAACGTGCAAAAATTGTGCAATTGTGTTTCCCACTTCCGAGTACCGTTTAAGAACTTTGTCTTTATGCTTTATCGATGCTTCGATATGTAAGTCTATGGCTTAAACCCCTTAACAGGTAAGACATTATAGGTTTCAACCAGAACTTTAAAATACAGGTAGTATATATAATAAGTACACAGTCCAAAACATGTTCTTTTCTAGCATTTCATGTCGTTATATATACCCCTTTAACTGTTATTGTTTAATGGGAAATGCCCTTTTCAATACAATCTCCTAATATTTTACAGTTCAACCGTCTCGTCACACCCGCATATGGTTGGCAAAGCTCGTGTAAGCAATGCGGAAGTTTTGGTGGTAAAATGCTTATAGCTAGACCTTTGACACGGTTACTAACCCTAGGTCGAGTTCATTGTATTTGTCAGACTGTCGGATTGGTTTTACGAGCAATTGTCTTTTTATACATCTATATATATAAGAGAGAAGTTTACTCGCCCCCGAGACGATGTTTGCTCCTGAAAGGATCCGAGACCGCGGGCTCCCGCTGCGCGAAAATCGCTCCACGTCCGTGGAAAAATACGGAGGGTGTCTTCCGCCGGGTCGGACGCTTCGGGTCGTCCTGATTTTCCCGTACGGACCGGCGATCCTTTTCGTCGATTTTTCGTGACTGCGTTTTTCGCAGGAATTTGCCGTCGTGTGCGCTTTCACGTTGACTGCCTGGCCGCCCCCTGTGCTGGCTTCTCTGCGTGTCTAGACTGTGCGAGGTCAGCGAGGTCAACGTAGGGGTTCCGTTTACGTGTTCTACTCAGCCCTTCTGCAAAAGCGTTCACCAAATTGTGTTATGGGGTGACCTTGGTAAAATATTTTTTGTCCATGGTGCGTGGCCACCAAGTGTCCCTATTCTTTCATATGCTTCGCTTGCCGCCCCTGCGCCGTGTGCAACGAATACTCAGAAGGACTACACATTAAGTATGCCTTGCGCGGTCTGACCAATCGAAAGTCTACACTGCGTAGTATTTCCGGGCTATGCAAAACTGTCAATGGCAACGCGTACTGCAGCCTGCTCCAACACCCTGGAAACGAGGTTGGGTCTACGGTGCTCGCTATTTGCATGATTTGAAGCACAAGCATGTGAGTGACGTGTATAGTGCTTTGTTGCTTCCATCGTGTGTTAATACAGCTCCATGCTTCCACCAAGGCTGAGCGTTGTGAGTTCGCTGCCCGCCACAGTGTTGCGTTATAATTTCGGGGGCCTGTCTGGGATCAACGAAGGATCGATGCATTGCTTCAAACATCGAGATCTTAAACGCAGTCCCACAAAAAATCAACGAAAATGTGTCCGATCCGGCGGAAGACACCCTCCACATTTTTCCACGGACGTGGAGCGATTTTGGCGTCGCGAAAGACCGCGGTCTCAGATCGTTTCAGGAGCAAACATTTCTCGGAGGCCGAGTAAAATTTGCTCTTATATAGATGGTTGACCCAAGTTGAATAACAGTTGACTCGACAAGTTCCTCGCAGACAGTCTCGCAAATTGTAAGACGTTCAAGTTTACGTTTGTTGAAGAGTCCAATATACTGAAACTTAATTATGACCTTCTTAATCAGCCTTCGCCTGTGTACTACGGCAAGCCTTTCAAGTACGTTTTCTCACAAATGCCACTGCCTCACAAAATGCCAATTTAACAGACCAACGGGAACATTTACAGACTGTTGCCATGGTACATAATTATCATGGGCGTTGTTACGGTTTATGTAATTACATTGAATTATTCACCCCTTCAGTTGAAATAGACGTGTCTTATAGAGTCTCAGGCTTCCAGCCGCACAATTTTTAGAATGTTATTGTTTCTTTTATAATCATTACGTAAGCCTGTAGTTCGTGCAGACGTGCCCAAGTGGTGCGATCCAGGGATATTTTCCTCATTGTTATTTGATTATATAAAAGGGTTAAAACCACGTTAATAAAAAAAACTGCAGACATTTCGTGGAAGCTACGCTGGAGGGCTGGTCCATTTACATGTACATCGAGCCATATCGTTTGTCAAGAGCCGTGCAGTTTCTCTACCTGTAGGACGTGCGTGTTCTGTGCTGAGCGCTGATGGTGGCTTCACCTGTCGTCGGGCAGACGTCGTGTCGGCGTGCTGGTGTAATACTGACTCGACTGGATGCCGTACTGCTGTCCTACTGGCATGACTGGTTGTCGGTGAGCTGCCGTTCTAACGCTAGAACTTTCGGCGAGTCCGCTACCCGTCTCGTGATGAGACTTTAACCGAACTTTTCGTTTCCGTGTCGGCGGGCCGACCTGCATTTCACTCCTCGTAGGATGCCACGAATTGGGACGTTGTCATGACGTTGCTGCTGCTGGTCCGGCAAGACTTAAGTATTAAATTATGATTGTATAAGTTTGATTTTGATGGTGTAAAGTAATGTGAATTAAGTGATGTGTGTCGTACTTTCATGCAGTTTGATTGATTTGATTGCATTTTGATGTATTGGAATTGTGAATGAATAGAATTGAGCATATTTGAAAATCTAAATTTGTCAATATGCAACAAAATGGGGGCTTGTCCGGGAAATGAAAATGGTGACCGGGAAATTGAAATTTGAGGTACATGTTGATTAGTGTTTAGATATTTTGGTGGATTTTTTTTTTTCTCAAATTCTTTTTGAAAGAAACGCCCGGTTTGCAAATTTTGGTTTGGGAAAATACATTTTGACATTTATTGTTTTGATACTCGTATTGTTATATTGACAATCAGGTAAAATGGATAAGGTTGATGACTGGTTGGAGTTAGAAAATCCCCCTCATGAAACTCTAGGTTCTATGAAAAAGGTTGAGTTGTTATATGTATGTAAACAGTTGAAAACAGAAGCTAAACAATCAATGAAAAAGGCAGAATTGAAATTTCTGATTGTAGAAAGGTTAGTAGATGATGATAGGATGGAAGAAAGTGTTTTGGAATTGTATCGCATTGAAAGTAAGGATTCAGAAGTGAAACGTTTGGAATATGAGTTGAGGTTAAAAGAACTTGAAATTCAGAAACAAAAAGAGCAGAAAGAATATGAAATTGAATTAAGGAAGTTGGAGATGGAAGAAAAGGTGAAACTAAAAGGTCTTGAAATGAAGGTGGAAAATGTTGACACAAAATCGACAAAGTTTGATCCTACCCGTTGTATTAGAATGGTGCCTCCATTTAATGAATCGGAAGTTGATAGGTATTTTCAACACTTTGAAAAGGTTGCAAAAAGCTTAAGTTGGCCTAAGGAATTTTGGTCATTTTGTTGCAAAGTGTGATTAGAGGAAAGGCTCAAGAAGCCTACAGTGCTCTTCCAGTTGATGATTGTACAAACTATGACATTGTTAAGGCTGCCATTTTAAAAGCATATGAACTGGTGCCAGAGGCATATAGGCAGAAATTCCGCAATCAAAGAAAACATGATAATCAAACACATGTTGAGTTTGCTCATGAAAAGGAAGTTTATTTTGAAAGGTGGTGTACATCAAAGAAAGTGAACAAAGATTTTGGAAATTTGAAACAGTTGGTTTTGGTTGAAGAATTCAAAAGATGTGTTGGAGCTGATATTAAAACTTATCTTGATGAAAAAGGTGCGGGAACCCTACTCCAAGCAGCCACCCTAGCTGATGATTATGCTTTGACACACAAAAGTACATTTCACAAATCGAAATTTTTGGCAAAAAGCCAATTTCAAGCATCAGCTGTTCCTAAACCGGGAACCAATTCAGTGAACCCTTCAAGCTTAGCTACTCCTGGTTCAAACACGGGCAAAAAGCCTAATCGATCAGGTTTCTATCAGTCGAATTCTAATGGTCCATTTTGCAATTACTGTAAGCGTAGGGGTCATTTGATTAGCGACTGTCGGATTTTGAAAGCTAAGAAAGAACAGGAGGCAACACCTAATGCTCTTGTTACCTCACACATGAGTCATTTTGAGTCCCCTTTGTGTCATAGAACAAACTGTAAAGATGCTAATTGTGTTGACAAGTCTCAGTCTGTTAGAACAGAATTTTTGCCATTTGTGTCGGAGGGATTAGTATCCCTTAGTAAAGAGTCTGACCCAGTACCGATTAAGATTCTTCGTGATACTGGGGCCACGCAGTCTCTATTGTTGCAGGATACTTTGCCATTTTCTAACGAGTCTGCAACAGGTGAATCTGTTTTGGCTCAAGGTATTGAGGGTACTTTTGTGAATGTTCCCCTACACAAAATTCAGTTGACATCAGACTTAGTCACAGGATTTGTTATAGTCGGTATTAGACCTACTTTACCAGTTAAGGGTATCTCTTTTCTGCTAGGCAATGACTTAGCAGGTAGTCAGGTGATTGTTGATCCTCATGTTATCTGTAAGCCGAGCACTTGTGAGGATAATGCTGCTGATGCAGATTTGTCGGATTTATATCCGTCTTGTGTAGTGACTCGAGCTTTGGCGAAAAAGGCACTTGAAAATTCAGGGGAGTCTGAACCTGAAAAACAGGATGATTTTGTATTGTTTGATACATTCATGTCCCAAGAAGGGAATTTTAATGATCATTCTTTTGTTGAAAGTTCTTCCAGAGACGAAAACCTTGAGAAATTAGAAAAGCAAACAGGAGAAAGAGTGTATGAGCTGTCCTTATCAAAAAGCAAGCTTTGTGCACAGCAGGAAAGAGATCCCGAAATTGTCTCACTGTTGGGTAATGTGTTCTCTGAAGAAGAAATTAAGAA